TATGGGAAAATTTGATTCGGTTGGCGACCAATTCGGTTGGCGACCACGTTTGTAGGGGTCAGAACGGATTAACCTTTTTTACGTTGAACCTTATGGGGGAAATTTGATTCGGTTCACGACCAGAATCGTGGGATGAATTAAGTTCGTGAAGCGAGGTACCACTGAACTGCAGCACTGCCATATAAGCCTTGTCCCTTTTCTATGGGTGTTGCGACATCGTATGCACACCTCAAAGAAGCGGATCTTGGAGTGCAACGGTGCTTGTGTCAGAATGACAAACCCTACGGGGGCCGTGGGTGATGCCTGCTGATGCTATCAAGTTGCTCGACTAAGTCTCTCGTGAGGAACAGCAGAAGTTTAACGTGCCTCAAGAGGCGTTTGTGTTTGCAGTTGCTTAAAGACATCTGAACAGCAACGCTGTGTGTGACTCAGTATGGTCGCAGAAGGTCTGGCCCAGCCAATGTGAAATGTGAGATTCTTTGCAACTCTACACAGCTGCTCTTCTCTTGTTTTTTGAACATGTTAACCCATCTTGATTTTTTTTAATCCTTAGCTCAGCCTGAAGGCTTAACAGTTCTGCAAGAGGTAGGGCGGGTCTGGAGCAGGCAAGGAGTAGGTGTGTGTGTTGAACTAGTGTACCTGATCACTGAACCATCACTCATTTGGGTGGGCCCTTTTTTTTTTTAAAGGACACTCTTGTTTTTTTTTCCTGGCAAAGTTCATGAGCTTTTAATAGTAGAACAATTAGGGGAAATTCAACAGGGAACAATGATGCTTGGTAAAGGCCCAGATTTAGCAGAATCAAGCCCGCAAGCTGGAGAATGAGAAGTCTTTGCTGGAGTATTAGATGCGGTAAAATAATTCTGAAGACAATTTGATGAATAAGTCACAAGCATCCATTCTACAGCCATTGATATGTTTTAGCATATTTTAATTAATTATCTATTTTAATGAAAGTTGATTCTATTTTTATCGTAAACTGTTCAGAGTCATTCCACAGTGAGATGGGCGGTGACAAATTTGAAATATAAATAAATAACTAAATAAAATTATTAAGCTTCTCCCATTTGTTTGTGATTTAAAACAGGAAGGCTTTGGGGATTGGGGAGATGCAGTTTTCAGATTTGATATCCACCAAGGTTCACTTTTTGGAAGCAAACTGTTCAAGCTCTAATCAGGCTGGAAGTTAGTACGTACTGAAATGGTTCTAGAGCCAATCTCAGCCTCAGAGATTATTTCAGTCCCTTTCTTTCTACATCTCCCTGCAGGTGACGCCATCTTCTGCTTCAACTGCACCAGCACAGAAGGTTATAATTGCAGCACAACTCAGCAGAAATGTTCACTCACGGTCAACAGCTGTATCACCATCGCTCGGGATGAGGACACAGGTCTGTAACTATCTTTCCGTTTGTCTCTAAAACAAAATTAGAATAGAAAAGAACGGTTTATCTTTTTTCTATCTGTTCTTACTATAGTTCTTCTGCCATACTCCTGAGGACTTATGGTGGTTTACGTTTAGCACAATGGCATGTGCTAAGAAATTTGTTTGCACCAATTCCTCTCCAAGGTTTGTAAGCTCCAAAATTGTGATCTTTCCCCACATAGCTATCTGAAATTCATTGCTAGATATGGCCAGAGATAGGACAGGGGACCTTCTACATGAAAAATGTGTGTTCTCTCAATGCATTATGACCATGGGCTCAAGATTGTCCATGCCAAGCTGATGCTTGCGAGAAGCTCCAAAACTCCATCTCCCCACCATACACCATTATACTCAACAGAGATGGTCACTATGAATATCCTTTGGACTACTGTAGAGGAAAAGAAGGATCAGGCCTTCCTTCATTGTCAAAGGACATATCTGCTTCAGGAGATTGCCTCTTCATTGATCTGACTCCCATCCCCAGGGACCCAGGACATAGAAAACCCAACTTATGAGAAGAAGTGCAATTCAGACGATCGATTGTGCAACCAGTTTTACGGGCTGATGGCAGGGGATTTTCGCATGCGGTGGAATTCCAGCTGCTGCCGTGCTGACCGCTGCAATACTGAGGAAATAATTGGTAAAGAACTGGGATTGTTTCAATAAAAGAAGCTGTTCTGGGTTGGATTAAGCAGCATGTTAACTATACTTTTAAAGCAAGTTTCTGACAAAGGCAGCAGTCTTCTGTAGCAAGCCTTCCAAGTGTTGCTAATTCCTACCTGTCCATTGGTTATACTTGCTGTGGCTCTTGGGGGATGAATTCCAAGGGCACCTGGATGGCCACAAGTTTCCTACCTATTCCATGTAAGTAAATCCTTTGGAATGGAGAGATTCTGTAGAACATGGGGAATGGTTCTTAATCAGAAGTAAGGTGCCAGGAGGTGGCATACAAGCCCTTGAAATGCAGAGAAGCTATTCTATGACCACAGAGTGTAGTTTTCACAGTTGCTATTTACTGAGAAATGACATCCGGATAATGCCATCTACATTTAGCAAAAACTGGCTATGAGCTCCCCTCCTCCCCACAGGCAATACGTATATAAAGATGTGACATCTGCTGCCAAGGTCAGTTCAAGATCTGCTCTGAAGAAGCTAGAAAACTGGTTAACAAACTCCAGGACATATTCATGGTCTCATAGGGCATTCTCCAGAAGCTATTTGTCTAGGATGCCAATGCCACAGCTGGGTTGAATTGGGCAGGCTGCTGCTGATGGCCCCACTGTATACATAAGCACAATCTTGTCTAGGGGGAGAATTCTACTTTCTGACTTGCAAGATTCTGTTAATGTAGCTTTATGATAAAATAAAATTAGCTCATCTGTTCGTGTTTCCTGTCTAGTCTACTTAGTAAGGCTGACATCAATCTTGCAAGTCTGAAAGTAGAATTCTCCCCCGTCTCCTTTACAGCCCAAGAAATCAGGGAGGGTCTTTTCTGAGCCTCTTGCCCCATCCACTATCCAGCTGTGGGCTATGCTGCCTCTTATCTGACCATTCCTTTGGCAGTGTCTCTTGGCCCCGTCTCCCAAGATCTTTCCCACAAGCCATTACAGCAAATTGTTTCATGTTATAGAGATTCTCAGGTTCTTCTTTTGGCTCTCTCCATCCATAGTTCAAAAAGCATCTCAGAATCGGAATGGAGTCCATTGCAATTCATGCTTTGCCCGTGGCACAGATTTGTGTCTTAACAAGACTGAGGTGGCCTGCACAGGTCTCATGACACACTGCATCCACTTTGCCACTAGTACAAAGAAAGGTAAGTAGACATAAAGAGGGCTGAGTATGGTGAAGATGGAGAAGTTAACTCCATCTCTTGCCCATGGGAATTCTACCGCCTATTGTTTAGTCCTGGACTCAATCTTTGTCAAAGTGGGTTTACAACCATGTTAATAAATATAAGAAAACACAGCAGAGTCAAAAACTCCCTGCTGATTGTGAGAAGAATTATAGAGATGGCTCTGTTCATTCAAACCAGCTAATCCTTTCCCCTCCCATTCTTCCAATACAGAGCAATTCAAGGACCAACAGGTTGCCTTCACAGGATGTGCTACCAAGAACCTGTGCGACATGGGAGCGGTGGCGCTGTTTGCTGCTGGCCGCAATGTTGAAGTCACAACCAACATGTGCAGTTCTGCACCAGGAATTGCCTCTCAACACAACTTGGTCCAATACTTTCTAGCAGGGCTGCTCATTCTTAATTTTTGTTTTTGAATCGTTGTCCTACAAACTCCCACCACTGTCTGTCTGGTCATCTTCTACGATCCCTCCCTACACTTTCTTCTACCTTGTTGGTCTGCTTTCAGCTCCCACTTCCCTCTCAGACAAGTTGTTGCACACTACACACCCAGCCTGAACCCTGAAGGAAAGTGTTTGGCATGGGAATGATTTCTGCATCCAGTTCCTGTTTCTCTGGTCCTGGTCAGTGGGGAAGATTTCTGCCTGTGAAGGGTTCACAAACTCATTTCTTCCAGAAGAGACAGATTGGCAAGGTGTGAGTAGAGGAAGTCAACATGTGGTTTTACCAGATTTGAATGCTGTTGCCAAGCTTTTACTGTATTTTAAGTGTAAAATATAAATAGAGGAGCAATTTGTGTATTTTTACATCTGCACCCTGGCCCCACCCATGTTTTGGAATGCAGCCCTCAGCTAGCCATTCAAGGGATTCCCCATCCCCTGCCAGTGGATAGAGAACTGGAATTGGACCAGGTTCAACTCTCTACCCAGCTATGAAAAACAGAGGCTGTATTTACTCACAATACAGTTATTCCATTTTCTTTATTTGCACAACAGCTGCAATATTGGCTAAGCAAATGGCCTGGGATCACACAATATGGTAGGCCACCAAATCACTATTAACCACCATTACAACTAATCAAGCTTGGTTAGCAACTGCAGTTGTCAGTGCAGCTGACCTGGCTAAACATCTTACATGAAGACAACCATTGGATGAGTTTAGCTCCTTATCTAACCAGTTCACAGTTTTTTCCCCCAAGGGAAATATCTCATTCTATCTTCTTCTTCTTCTTCTTCTTCTTCTTCTTCTTCTTCTTCTTCTTCTTCTTCTTCTTCTTCTTCTTCTTCTTCTTCTT